AAAGAGCACAATTATAACGCCCCAACAGCACACTGCTGAGCTCTAGCTGAAACTCAGATCTGTATCTCCAGAAGCAAATAAGAGCAAATAACATTCGCACATCTCTGATATTCTGAAAAGCAGTAATTTAATAAATCTTTTCTGCTTGCAAATGAACTTTCTTAATTTTCATATTTTAAAGAACAATGTCTATTTGATACTTTAGTATATAGAAGAAGTTCTTCCCTGTGAGGGTGCTGAGGCACTGGCACAGGTTGCCCAGAGGAGCTGTTGGCTGCTCCATCCCCGGGAGTGTTCCAGGCCAGGTTGGATGGGGCTTGGAGCAACCTGGGCCAGTGGAAGGTGTCCCTGCCCATGGCACAGGGTGGAATGGGATGGGCTTTAAGGTCCTTTCAACCCAAACCAGTCTGGGATTCTATGATTCAGTGATAATTCATCTCATTTAACTACCAACCAACTAGTGAATAGTTTTAATGCCAGTGAATCATCTAAGCTTATGCCACAATCACCTGAAAGGGAACAGGGAACCCTCCCAGAGTGTTGTGCCTCTACCTTACACCTCATTCTTTAACAGGAAAGATTGCTTCTAGACATGAGAGTATGATATGGAGGCAATGAAGAGGTGAAGTACCCTATCAGTACTGCTCTCCAGCACTTAACACAGGTTGCAATTCCCAGTGCTATTCCTACGTTCCATGTTTGAAATCAGAATCACGGAATCCCAGACTAGCTTGGGTTGGAAAGGACCTTAAAACTCACCTCGTTTCACCACCAGTTGTTGGCAGGGACACCCTCTACTGGACCAGATTGCTCCAAGCCCTGTCCATCCTGAAGTGCATTGTCCAGTTTTCCTGACAGCACTTAAGACTCCAGTGATTTCACATGAACCACCCAGAGTGCTTTAATTACAAAAAACCGCAACAAAACAAAGGGAAGGCACAACCTGCTTTGCACTGTCCTCTCAATGTATATAAGAAACCACTCAGCTCATTTCAAAGCAAGGCAGGATTTAAGAGACAGACACTGAGAAGTATATAAACATTTCAACTTACATCAGATAAATACACCTTATTGCTTGATTTATCATAGACATCAATTGCAATTTCATAAAGTCTGCCTGTTTCTAGGACCCATCTGTCACCTGGATGAACTGTAAATCCTACAAAACAGGAGATATTGAACAGCACAAACCAACAGCCTCTTTATGTGATGGATAAAAGCCTTTTGCTTCTGGTGCCCACACTCTGTAAGTGAACATTCATTATTTTAAGCTGCTGAATACAGAGGTAAAAGAAAATACATATTTACTACTAAACTTATTTGGCATTGAGCTACTTTGCTGAATAACATGAATTTTCTATGACAAGTAGCGTGAGAAACTGAAGTGTGTATATAGACTAAGAAAATCACAAAAACAATGCAAGGAATTACATTAAGCAATCAAGAAAATAGCAGCCAGTACCAACCTAAATAGCCAGGACTGACCACATGGACAGTGCTGTTGGGCAGCCTGGAAACGCCCTGCATGCGGATACCTGAGCTCTCAGTCAAGGAACAGGAGAGTTGAATCAAAAGTCAGTCATGGAAAGATCAGCTTGTTCCTGGGGCTCCTTGAGCCTCTTTGGCTATTTAAAGTTAACTGTATGCTGGAAATAACTGTTATCCCCACTCCCCTGCAGGACAGTAAGCGTTTGGGAGAGAGTCACTAGAGAATATAATGTTTGAAATGTAAAAAGTCAGTAAAGCCCCATCACACTGCCACAGTGACTGAGGGGAGCAGAGAGCATTTCATTGATCTTTTGCCAACCTAATTTCTTAGAACATTCCAAGGCATCAGACAGCTCTGCTGAAGCTGAATTCACAGCAGTGCTGCTTCCCATGGCTCCATCAGTGCTCCTGGTTTTCAAGACTCCTGATACAAATGTGGGTAATTTTATCTTTTTGTACTGTAAAGGGTGGAAAGTTTGTGTCCTGCACAAAGCTGCAGATACAAAAGCATATATAGGAAGGATACTCTTGTGCCCAAGGATGAGGTTAGTGTGCCCCTGCTGCAATGCAGTTACAATGGATGTTGCCTGGTCCAACTTGGCAACTGGCCATGACAGATCTCCCTCGGGGCCCAGGACGTTGTTCTGGAGCTGCAGCTCATACTGATCAGATGGCATCGCAATTTCTGTATGTAGAACAACACAACATGTGAAACAATAAGAGCAAGTGTGCCAGTGTTTGGCTGCTGCTAATTATCGCTGATTATTTGTTATTGATCCCTGGTGCACACATGAAATCAGGATTTTTAATGTCAGGCAGAAACAGCATTTCTGTCATCCTATCAACACAAACACACAGAATGAGCTTCTTGCCAAACTTGAATGCCTTTGAAGCCGCAATTTCCAACTAATATCATCTCACTGCTTAAATCTAGCATCCAATCCATTCCCAGCTTCAAAAGAGAAAAAGCAAAAAAGAAGGAAGTCAAGGCATTACACTTCTAAATGGGCATAAAGCCAATCGACCCACACTTATGGAGCTTCACCTTTTGCAACCAGTGCATTTGGCAAGAAAGCATTTTCTGTTAGAAAAGTTACTAAGCTAAATTTGATTTAACTAAATGTCACAGAGGTTCTTAGTGACTGTGAAATACATTAGTACGTCTAAAAATCAGCATTGCCTCCTATTCCAGGTCACTCTCACCCTTACCTTCATGCCCTTGACAAATCTTTAAGTCTACTCTTTACAGACACAATTTGTTTGACAGAAAGAACTAAACAGCTCTATCACCATGTGCCTTAGGAAAACAGTATTAAATACTAACCAAGTAGTTTAAACACAATTAAAAATTTCTCAGTAGTTACAAATTCACATGAAGTATTAAAAAATAAAAATAAAAGGATGATAACAGAACAAACCTGTGATCCTCCCTTGCCTCATTTTCTGAACTCTGTACCGAATCGATGTTCCCACCAGAAGATAAACATCATATGCTGGATTTAAAAGGATATTTTCCAAAATAAGCAATCTGACTTCTGCAGGATGCACATGCTAGTGATGGAGGGGAAAGAAACAAACAGCAACCATGTTTAAAACAGTTCATTTGTTTGAAACAGACCATGCAGCAGGAACTTGTGGTCTAGAACTGAAAAACACTACTTGCTGCAATTGGCTCTTTATTATCATCTCCAGTTATGTCACAACAGGGCAGGGTGACGGACAGCGAATGGTACACAGATCTGCTCTGTGCATGCTGCAAGGATGAAGGAAATAATCAAGGCTCTACAAAAATCACTTTGGTTCAGATTTCTAGAGAACACAAGAACTTGAGATAGATGCTCCGTGCTTATTCAGACATCCAGGAATTCATCTTCCCTGATGTAAAACATGGAACCTCCAGACAGCATCTCCATTATAACTTCCCTGAGGAGTCTCTTGCAAACTCACTGGTCTATTAAATTAGGAATACAACAGATAATTGTACAAATTCTATTACAGTTGTTTGAGGGATGTTCACTGACAATGCAGTCTGGCAGCAGTGAGAGATTTAAAGGAACTACTAACCCGAAAGACACAAAAATTGCAAACTCAACAGTATTATCTCAATTTCACTCACTGGATCAGCTCAAAACTAATTGAGAAACAGAAATATTAACTGAGCTACAAGCATGCAAGAAAACAGACTGATATCAGGCAGGGTAAGTACAAGTGTTCAGTACAATTAAGAAGTAGTATAACAAAAACACAGTTCTTTACAAGCACTGTTACTTGTGCCACCTCCCTGGGGTTACACAGGTGGAGATCACTGTTTCATAGAACACTTCTTAGAGATATGGGTTACATAGTCCAAGGCAATTCTGCTTTAAGCAAAACCATGAAGTACAACATGTAGTAACACAAATCTGCAAAACCAGACTGCAGATATGAGATGAACTCCAGAACCCCTCACTGTTTTATGGAGGGAGTTTTTAATGGGCAGCATTAAGCTGATACTAGCACCATACCAAGGTCTCCTGTAAGCCAGAACCCAGCAAAACTCTCTCAGGTGCTGGTAAATTCTATGAAGAGATAAAACAACTCTGTTACCAGAGTTAGATGAAAAACTCAGTCACCACAAGTTGCAAAGAGAGAACCAGCATGGATCTCCATAGCAGCTGGGAAGATCACCCAGCACTGCAGCTTAACACCTTTGGAGCACTGACATTCAGCTCTCAAAGCCCTTCCTCGGAGAGCAGAACCACGAGGCAGTATTGTGTACAAGAAAATATCATTATGCCACTCATTTCAAGCAGAAGAGGAAGTAAAGGTCTATCCAATGGAGCAATCCTTGTTCTAGATATTTATTGAAAATGATAACTGAAGTGTTCTAGTTGCTTCTTTTCCGAAAGGTCTAAAGGGCCAATGCTGTGATTCTAGTTATGTGAATAGCATGAATATCAGGGAAAATCAAGTTGTACAGAAGCATTTGAAGTGCATTCCTCTGCCATGGGGCCTTCTGTCAGAGGCTTATAAATGGTCATGGGCACATGCATCATCCTGGGGTAGGGAAGTGCACCAAACTGCAGCCCTTTCAGGGGGTCATCTCTTGGGACATGGGCTACAGAGTCCATCCAGCAGGACAGAGATGCAGCACTGGGTTCCACACTGCAAACAGCATGGCAGGGCAAACTTGCAGCACTCCTGAAATACTGCAGTGTGAAATTAAACACTAAAATAATAAGGATGAATGCAATTTTCTTACCTTATAGATGCCTTCCTGTATTCTTGCTTTTAATTTGGAGCTCCCTGTTTTCATCCCAGACACTAGAATGGTATCTCCCTGCTTGGCAACTTTTTCCATCTCCAATATATAGGAAGGTGGGATATAAGTGGATTCTGAGAACGTGAGTATACTGAAAGGTGAACCAAGAAGTGAATAGCAAATTGTTAACCCATCTCTGTAAATCCCCAGAGGAACACCACCAGCATCTGTTCCCAGCTACTTCCATTTTAAAGCAAATTTAAGATGTCTGCCTGGGACCAGATAGCCAAATTCTTCTCATTCTTTGAGATATCTGCAGCTAATTTCTGTGACTGATAAGTTTGTTTGAAGCTTGCTTGTGGGCTTTCAAGAGCTATCAGAAGACTGCACATGTTGTCTGCAATGACCCCTCCAGCTTGTACAGTAGGTGCAGACTGCAAAAACGCTCTAGATTGTTGTGGAACAAACGATGTGAAAAACCCAAAGTTTATGTTTGTAAAAGGTACAGCTTAACAAAACCAGAACATAACTCTGAGCTCTATGGAGAAGCTAGAATGCATTTAATAAATGACTACGAAAATAATCCACAAGAAAAATACTCATAGTAACTGTCAGAAATTTCCACGAGATGTGACAACAGAGAGGAAAGGAATCTGCCATGACTGGGCAAACCCCACGACAGAAGTGGAAAGAGGAGCATGTTTTACAGGTTGCCAGCTCCTGCCTGCAGATCATCTGCTTGGCTTTATGTGCACCTGCACAGCAATGCCAGTAAAGCCATATGGAGAACAGCTATGGATATTAGCATATTTATGACAGTTTATCACTTATTCTGCAAAGCTGTAACACCATTACAACATTTTAATGTTATCATAGCTGTGCTAACAGTAGAGCATATATCAACATCAGTCTGGTTAAAATCACATCTAGCAAATACTTACACTGAAACCAAAAGCTCTATGTGGAGTAGGACTTGGGTCAGCAGTCCCACTGAGCCATTATTCATTCTGGAAAACTCACACCTACAGCTTCAGGAGTACTATTTCAGGAGTACTAACAGGCTTTCCTCAGGTAATGCTGTGCATTTATTCCTCTAAGGCTGCAAAAGCAGACTGTGTTTACCAGCAGCTAAGAGGCTTGTTTGCTACCCTCACTCCAATTCCATAGTACTTGGAGTAAAAACTTGAGGAGGGAAGTTAACTGTTAACCCCCTCTACTCTCGTAGAGAACTGGTTTCCCCACGTGCTGGTCATGGAATCATACTATGAACAAAGCCACATTCTTTAAAGGATTTCCTGCATTATTTTATGTCCCGTGATATAACTACGTTTTGCTGGAACCTGTTTTCTGAAGACACTGAAGCCTCTGGTCCATGACTTTGAATCTGTTTCAAAGGAAGTCTTGCCTAATGCTGTACTCAACAAGTGTCTGTAAACTGTTTTATGAGAAAAGCCCATGTTTCATGTGTTTACAGTCTGGTAATTCACATCTATCAGGGACACATTTTTTCTATCAACATTCATGTTGAGCAAAGTCAAGATTCACCATGGCATATATGATGAACACTAACATACTGCTGCTAAACAACAGGATCCTGGTGATGACACCAGTTGGTGACAGTGCAAAGACTGAAACCTTGGGAGCCCAAATGGAAAATATCCCATTAAGGCACTCCTAAACAGCCTTCAATTCTGGTTAGCTCAATAAGGGTGGAATATCACATTCAGCATAACAGAGGCCAAGGATGGTCTGGTGTCAAACACAGGAAGGAAAATAAGTTTCAGAGTTGGATTCTATTCCTATTCCTGCCACCAGTGAGCTTTCTACCTTTTGGGCATGGACTCCACCTCCATTAAATGGAGGGAATATTTCTGTATTATGCAGAAATGCTGAATAACACTTATCACATTAATGAGTTGAAAGGATTTTTCAAGGTATTTGGACAGGAGCTGTCACAAAACACAGCACTGCTAAATTCCAGTTAACTTAGTCTTTGAGGCAGTACAGATGAACCAAGCACCATGGATTATGTATTAAGTGTCTTCTATTCACTGCTGTGTCTGAAAGACAATGTATTGAACACCTTCACCGAATACCTTTCATTCAATTATTTCACCTGGCCCTGTGAGCCCAATCTGGCTCACAAGCAGCCACTTGGTCTGTGCTAATTTAAAGGTTAGCTACTTTCAACACTGTTGCAACAGCAGAACTAAGTGTTGACTGGAATCTGAAATTCTCCAAGTTCAGGGAGCTCCTTCCTGAAATGGAAGAGGACCTTTCCTCCCTTAAAAAAATTAAAAATAAAACTGCTGAAATCCTGAGAGAGCAATGTTTCTGATAATCTTTCCTTTGCAAGATCAACAGCTGCATCTATTTAATTCTAATTGTTGCATTAGAGCTACCAGAGCTCCTCAGTAACACTCTCAGCTGCTAAATTACACAGGGTGGGCGTGCCCAGGCTGTTGATTAAGCACTTTAAAAACCCAACCTGAAACGATAGACCCTAAGCGGTATATCAGGCATCAGTCCAGTAAACTGCCCAGATGTGAGGAAATATTTATACCCATCAAAGCTAGCAGACAGGAGAGCTGAGCACAAATGAAATGACCTTACCGTAAAGCATTGTGGGAGTCTGAGAAGCTATCAGCCTCTGGATCTTTCACTATTGTCCAGTCAAACACCAGCCCTGCCAGGGTGCTGAAAGTGTTCCCTGGAATCAAACAGTCACATCAAAACAAAACCACAAACAGCACAGAGGCTTCCTGGAACACAAACCAGGACTCATCCCTCAACAAAATTTCTCAATCTTATCCCTACAAGAAGCACCATTGGGTTAAATGCCACAGTCCAGCCTGCTTTACTGACTTCTTTTCTATCCACACCACTTGTCACTCTTTTCCCTCACTAGATAGGTGCAGCTGTCCTCACCTTTGCCCTCGGACCACAAGCACTTTACGTGTATATATATATATGTATATACACACATACATATATACTATACATATATATACACATGGAAGAGAATGAGGAAAATAACTATTCCTGAAGATATATTGATACCTTCCTGAAGGTACTGAATGGTCTGACCCATACCAGATGCAACAATCTGGCAATGTGAGATGCAATAATTGTCATGAGTGCAAACCAAATCCTCCTTGGTACATCCCTGGGATGAGCTATGTCCCTACACCACACACCAGCTCATGCACAGCATCTACTGTCTCCCTCTCCTCAGACTGCAGTACAGGCTTGACATCAGTTATTTGTTCAGGTTTTCAGCAAACCCAAGCACACTTTTTCCCAATATTCACTGAGCTGTATAATTATTTTATATTGATTTTTCCACCTTTTGAATATCAAAGAAAAATAAAAGGCATTCACAAGTGCCTTATTCAAGTCTCTCATTGCCCCTGAACAATTCTGTCCTTCAATAAACTTGCCACTGCTCTGCAATTTTTAGGTTTTGGGGTTTTTTTAAAGTGTGCCCAGAAAGTCCACTGAGAGTCCAGTGTGTCCGAAGGTCTCCCAAGGATGGATCCCAAGGTTGTTGGGGACAAAATGAATTGATTTTTGAAGTGTTTGAGTGCATCCTGATCTTGGGCAGTTTAGTCCTACAGCTTCTAACCAACACTGCTTCAGTCATGCAGACTAAATGATCTTTGTGGGTTTTAAACCCCTTCTCCTGTTCACACTCTGCCTTGGGTGGCTTCCAAGGCAAATGGCCCACGGAGCACACTTGAGAGTCTGCAGAAACACCAAACCAAGAATCCAGCATTACACATAGCATAAAAGCAGATTTACTTTTCATTATGAACATATCACCATACTTTACCTGGCACTGGTAGATTACAAACACACAGACATAGGATGGGCTCAGTAAACGCCCAAACCAACCAATTCAACCTTTAATAACTGCTTTCAGCCCACCAGCTGTCCTAAAAATCACTTACTTTGTGTGAGATGTGCACATAGAAATGTACTGTTGAGACCTAAGCATGAAATTCTTATCAGATCATGATTCTTTCTCTGATGGTATGAAAAGCAGAATACTCTCATTAAATAATTATGCACTCAGACTACAGGCACTGAAGGAGCTTAAATGCTACCTCCCAAAGGTGAGTGTGTTTCTGTTTAAGGGATGGGAATTAAGCAATAGGAGGCTGGTCTTCAACATCAACTCTAAAGCTCCTGCCGGATGCCTGATTGGTCTCAGACAAAATGTGCTTTTGGAAAATTCTTTAGACTATCTCAGAAGAAAAAGAAAATGAAAAAAAGAGCAGACTGCCTCAGAACTCCCTTTAAATCACTCCACTTGGCTTAAATCAACCGTGTCACAAATAAAACCAGTTCACATATCAGACAATTACCACATTCAATGTATATTTAATCTCCTACTAGTAAATCTCTTACCTTCAGAATCCAAAGCCTGAATTTTGAGCTCCAGTGGTGAATCTTCAAGATAGAGTTCTCTTGTGGTAGACACAATCTGGATCTCATGAATGGTATCAACTATAGCATCACAACGAAGCACTTGTCCAGTTGCTTGAAGAGACATCAGACAGAGCACATGAAATTACAACAGTGGATGTGCTCATCAAGTACACCAACAAGACAAAATGCATCTCAGATTTAGCCAGTGATGCAAGACACTGACACTGAAGGAACTGCAACTGGGTCATGACATTGATGAAGAAATTCTTGGTCAAATGGTGGCCAAGCAAGCAAGAAAAGCAGTTCCCTTCCTCACTGAACTTCAGAATAAATCTTTTGACATTGTGATTTCCATCTACACTGAGAGTTGCAGATATTGTCTCTGAATACATGGACACAATTTCTCCAATGCGACTCTCAGACATGATTCATGTGCCAGAGAACTTAATGACTTTTACCCACAGATAATAAACCCCTATAAACTCCTTTATTTAGTGACTGCAAGGCATTTAATTGACCATCTGGTTTTGCCTATCTGTCACTATAAAAACTAACCAGGTATATTGTATGACAGACACTGTCAACCACAAAAGGCAACACATTTTTTACATTTCAGAAAACCCTTTTTGACCCCAAGAATTACTCATTTTCCTGGCTGCATCATTAATATCATTAACAGCATTATTTAACAACTTACAAACTACGGAAAGTCTAAAATGACTGTGCATATGAACAGACATTTCTCACTGGTGCACTTTCAGATCTATAATTTGTTTCTGGAGGAAACCAGTTTGCCCATCAACAAGTAGTGGTGTGCTTAGAGAAGTTCAAACTTACTTATATCTTCAGCAAAGATGATACTTGTGAGCCGTGTGGGCTGTAAGGACCGTGCCTGGACAACAGCCTTCTGCGAGCACTGCCGCTCGTCCTGCCCCACCGGCTCGATGCTCGCCACCTCCGGCCTGCTGGAGGACCTGGGGAGGATTGGGGCTGTTAGCAGTTCCGTTACTGCTGCACACAAATCAAGGGTGTGGTTTGAAAGCCACCAAAACAGTTGAGGCTTATAAAAGGTCTGAAAAACATGTCGTCTGAGGACGGGCTGAGGGAATTGGGTTTGTTTAGCCTTGAGAAGAGGCTCAGGGGTGACCTCATGGCTGCCCTCAAAGGGGGCTGTAGAGAAGTGAGAGATGCCTACAGGGAGAGGACTAAAGGGAATGGCCATAAGATGAGATGGGAGATTCAGATTAGGTTCTAGGAAAAATGTTTTCCCTGATCGGGTGGTCAGGCACTGGGCTATTATCCACAGAGGTGGTGGAGTCACCATCCCTGGAAGTGTTTAAGAGGTATCTGAACTTGGTGCTGGAGGATATGATTTAGGGGTTACAGCAGTGACAGATTAATAGACTCTATAATCTTAGATGTCTTCTCCAACCTTGATGGTTCTATGATTCTAATTCACATGAGACATGCTACATGGTCAGGACCTGACTTTGGCATGAACTGGATTGCAACAGCTCCTCGAGGACTTCAGCAAAAGCAAGCAGGGACTGAGGAAGGGGAAAGCCAAGGCCAGAGCCCACCTGAGGGAGCCCAGGAAGACAAATACAGCATTCTTTTTACCCTGAGTACAGCTCAGTCAGTTCACCCCTGTACCCAGCTGCTTAAAGCTACAAAGCCTTTGGCTAGACTTGATTAGCTCTGAGGTGTGGAACAAGCAGACATAAAATGATGAAGGAGAAGGTAAAATAATTTTAGCTAAAGCTCCTTTCACCGCTTGTAATTGCATTTTCAAAACAAGTTTTAAACGAAGTTCTGAAAAGCCTGAAAGCTTCTCCCGATGATGGAACATTACAATTCCATGTGTCTGTGTCGTGGTTTAACCCCAATCAGCCACTGCAGCACAGTTTGCTATGGCACAGGCTAAGAACAAGTAAGAAATAACATTTTTAAATCAAGAAATAGATTTTTTACAAAGATTTAGTCTGTTTAGCTGAAGTATATAATAAGACTGTGTAAACCATGCAAAGTTGTCTCATCATCCTTGGTGCAATGAAAGCCTACATGGAATTTTGACATAAAATTGCTGCACTTGTTACTTCCTGCTCTGACTTGTGTGGCTGATCTAAAGACAGGTGACAGCTCCAGGGATGGGGATGGTGGAAAGAAGCTCACCATGGGTGTGGGGCCCAGCTGTCACTTCCTGAGTGCCAAAAAGCTCAAGGTGAGAGAAAGCATGAAAGAGTTATTAAAAACCAAACCCCTTGAACTTACATTTGAGATAGCAGCAATACACATCTGAGGCCTGACTGTGGAGTGCTGGGAGCAGCTGAAACACTCCAGCAGCCATACCCCTGCAAATAGCTGCAGCTCACCCTCGGCACGGGGTGAGCTGCTGACTAACCGCGCTGGAGAACTGGGTCACAGCTGCTCCTGCAACCTCTGAGTTGTGCAGAGTAAGCAGAGAGGCAGTGCCTGCCTGGCCTCCAGCTCGGAGCCAGCGCTCAGCCTAAGCCGCTAATGAATCCAGGCCTGAAATAGCATCGCTGTTTGCTCAGGGCTCCTGGGTCAGAGCCCTCACAAGGGGCCTTTGAAGGATTAAAACAATGAAAGCAAGCACTGATGGATGACAAAGCTGGTTGGGAATTGCTTCTCCCAGATGATGAGAGCAGCTCTGATGAAAACACTGCTCTATCTGGTAATCGAAATCTAAACCAGGCTCCAGATCCCCTCCTGGTAAAGACAGGGAGGGAAGCTGCATTGGTTTAGACTTTGCTTCTGGAGGATGCACCAAAATGCCTACCTGTGACTCGTGGGAAAAACCCTCTAACCCAGCAAGGAGCAGGATGGGAGTTCCAAACAAACCAACCCTCCTCCCAGACAGTCTTTACCTACTTCTCTTACTGCCAGAACCAGTACAGCAACCCACACAGCGAACAACTAAACTTCTCATTCACTAAAATTGTATCCACTAAAAAACTAAGACATCACAGCATGTTCAGTTATCTCAGACTCAGCAGCTACAGCTCAGGCAAGCATGGACCTCTGCGTGGAATAAAACTGCAGCTCCTGATTCCCATCTTAAGCTCCCAACAACATTTTGCCTACATAAAGAGTAGTTTTAAAGGATTTTAAAACAAGAGTAGCAACTGTTGGTCCAGAAATTTCCAAGTACTTTACTGATCAAGGAGAAAACTGCCCACAGCAGTATGCAATGGGCAATTTAAACAGCAATTAGAAGCTTAACCGTGAACATTGTTTGCTATATTCTAGACATAAGCAATGTAGACGAATATGTGCACATTTTTTATAGTAGGGTTTCCAGTGCTTCTAAAATGATCTGCATCAGTAGCACATTAGGCATCACTCCACACAGTTTAATTTAAAAGTGAACAATTACTTATTTTCCTGGTATTCTGCAGCTTCTTAGGCAACCATGAAACAGTTCTCCAAGATTTAGCAAGTTTCTTTAAACAACATTAGCATTCACAACCAGTAAGGCTTTTCCTGTACTTGGCTGGTTGGTTTTTGAAGCTGAGCACATGGATCTGACTTAATATGCATGCAGGTATTTCTAAGTAAACATTATATGTATTGAACTGACTTTTATTTAGCTCTTTACATTGCTTAATATTCTCTGCCATTAGCTTTTTTGTTATTAATTTGAGGGGTTTGCATTCTTACAGTCTGGAGCTGATTGTGTTTACAACACAACAGGGGTTTCAGTGTGGCTTGTAGTTGTTCTCTTAATATCTGGTTATGAATTGTAACACAAACCCACTGCATTTTGCACTAATAGCAATGTTGTAAAACTAAATCTAATTACAGGATGCTTTTCAGGCAAGAAAAAGGAAGGAACAAAGATCAACAAAAATTAAATTTTAACTGTAAACTTACATACACTCCACAATTCTAAAGGAACTTTCAAGCTTTTACAGCTGAAGGCTGGTTAACTCTTGGTTGTGGCTGCAGTAGGGAACACGAGATTAGATGTTATTTGGCCTCTAACAGTAGTTTAAAACAGGAGATAAAGTATCAGCCGAATGTCTCTTTTTAATATAAATTCTGGGTTTATTCCCAGTAGCATGCCTAGTACTTCAGGCAGTTACCAGATGTGGGCAGGTGCAGCAGGGCCCTTTTGGCTGAGGCTTGGTTTACATTCAAAAACAATCTGCACAACTACTGTTACACCAGAACATACGAAGTATTCGCTGACCCCTCTGTCATTCAGCAATATCAAGAGCACACTGTTCATAGCTACATGGCTGCAGGGTCAAGCACAGAAAGGCTAAGGCACTGATCAGACAGGCTGGTTATTACAGCAGCATTACTCTGCTGGGATCACTGACTGCATCCATCCTAGATGGGCAAGAAAAAGATACTTTGGCTTTAAAGTGACAAGGACTGCAATTTACACCATCTTCCAATTGCAGCAGCTCTTCAGCAGCACGTCAGAGCGCGAGATTGAGAGCGAGGCCTGTCAGAGGTCAAAATTAGATCCTGAGAAGGCAGGAATGGGAAGCATTCCTGGCACTACCTCTGCATCCCATGCCAGTGTCTGCAAGAAGGAGTGAGGCAGGGAGGGAGCACTAGAAAGAAGAGTGAGGAGGTAAGAGGTAAAAAGGCTAGCAAAAGTCACAGTATTTATTTCCCTCAGAATAAAAGCCTACTCACCGAGGAGTTAATGACACTTGCAGAAAGGCTGCCAGACCCCTTGCCGATTCCTGTTTCATTCATGATTTCCATCCTGACCCCAGACTGAGAACCGTGTGCCAAGATTGTATCTACAGATCTACTCAAATCCATGCTGCATTTTTAAAATAAACTGTTTCATAATATCACACGTCCATACTTCACTAGACTATATGAAACGTATTTATATGCTGGTTCCACGATCAGGCACCTGTTACTCCTTCCCTGCCCAGCAGTTTGACTCTGTTGACTCCAGCATTTGACACTGTTCTGCCAGCTCTTCCAATGAACTCCACTGACTGCATCAGCAAAGACCTACCTTTGTGGAGCAGCACCATAACTGTCAGTGCATCTGATCTGTTAGAATTCTATCTGGGCAGATATGTAGCCACTGGGAAATTGGAAAATAAAAGTTTCCAAGAGTTTGGTAAGATTGGATTGACTGATACATTAAGGACCTTATTTCTAGTCACTCTTGGGACTAACACAAAAATGAAAAGAGATGCAAGAGCCAAAACAGTGGTTGGGCAACTGTAGTTATCCGATGAAGACCTGATTGCCAGAGAATCAGGGATATGGGAACTGAACCCATTCCAGAGAAAACACAGAGGGAGCCTGGCAGAGTTCCCTCAACTCTTAAGGATTTTTAACAACCCAGATTATGTCTCTACTGTTCACTCAGTCCTCTCCTAGGATGCTTCTTATTGCACTGGAGAAACAGAAAGCAGAAAAAACCCCAAACCTCTCCATCCAGTTCTGCTTTCAAAGCAAATGGAAACATCACACACCACACAGTGAGCCAAGGATGGAACCTCTGCTCCTGGGATTTTATACTGGTGATCAGCTGGCATGCCCATTAACTTCAAAGAAAGCAGAGTTAAGCCAGTGCTGATTGCTCCCAAAATACAACCCAGATGCCCAACTATAACTTGGATATTTTGTCAAATCAACCAGTGCTCAAAATTCTTTTACCACAAGTGCTTCTTTTTGCACCATTTCTAGCTGCATGAAGGAAAACAGCGTGCACATTAGAGATAGTCACCTTCCACCCTAAGAGAATGCTATAAAAAAAGGTCACCCTATACAAGTTTTTCCTGAAATTAGCTTAGCCTGATTTCAAATTAGAAAACAGAACTAAAAAATGGCAGCTTACTGCCAACACAAATGTTGCATTTTGCATTATTTCAAATTACTCACTCTGTTAAAACTTCTCTCATGTAGACCCTCGAAGTTTCAGTTACTAAGGTAAGACCTGCACCCAGAGACAACAAGAGTCTGAAAACGTTTCATGGGTGTTCAGCAAAAAATCAGCAAGTGCCTACTCCTTCTGTCCTCCTTCCCAGGCAGGTTCTCAGATTCAGAAACAGTTTTTTCCAGCAGAAAACCTGCACTGCCATTTGACACATCAGCTAAGAGAAATCATGATTATTTCTTCTGCCTCCTCAGCTCTGGCAGAGCATCTGTGCTGCACTCACACTACCTGCTCTGGTTTTGAGCCAACACACTCAGGTAACACACACCTGAGCCACAGCCGCACAGCACATCTCACTTTACCAACAAGGATATCTCAACCCCATTCTGAGCTCCTCCTGGTGCCTACAGGAGCCTGAAGCCGCGCTGGGAACACATACCCTGCAGCACAGCCAGATGAGTCAGCAGCACAGGCACTCCCACAGGCAGAACATCCTGTCGCTGATGGTAAAGCCTTACAAGTGGGGATGCAGAGCAGGTGAGAACCAAAGAAGGGGATACCAAACATCATTTAAGACATCACTTCACTGTCACTATCTCACACAAAGCACTTTCCAGTGAGAGTCAGACAGGGTTCTCTAGATCCGTGGTAAAGAAGGTAATCCAGGAAACAACAGCCCAACTCTGAGACTAACAGAGATGAGACTGTCAGTCTTACAGCAAAGTAACAGACCTCAAGGAGCAACGCAATTTAATACACATTTTTGAAACACCTAAGTCACCCCATACATTCCATGAAGATCAATTTACAATCCAGTATCAGAAACATAACAAGGTAAGGAGCTGGAAAACAAGCTTGGCCAGCTAACTACTGCGACAGCAGTGCTGTGTGTGGGGTCTGGGCTCCCTGGAAATACCTGTGCATCACACAGCTCAAACACCACAGGCCACTGGATCTCTCCCTCCAGCACTCTGCTACCTGCTCCTCTCACCACGGCCATTAGCTTGATGTAGCCTTGGGCTTCTTCAGCTGCACAACAAACCGTTTTATTTAAGGTGGCAATAAACTCCTCTTCCTTACAGTTGCAACAAACAGCATTGGTCAGGGCCATCATCACCTTTGAACAATTCCTGCAGCTGCAACTTTTCCACAGCAAAACCTCTGACTTCAGTGGTGCAACTCACTCATTTGCAGTGCTCAAAGCTACCTCCTGAAGCTGAGACATTCCCCAGCTCTCACCACATAGCTCAATTTGACACTACATGAAATAATGTTACAGATGTGTGAGTGTATTTGTACACTACAGTTAATTTCTGCTATAAACACCCTGTGCCACACTGTGTACCTTGGGGGGAAAATGTTTGTTTTGTGTGTGTTCCCTTCCTTCCCCTTAAAATGTTATTATGGCAAGGCAGGTTTCAAGGAGAGAATTCTGCTGCTGAATGCTTTCATTCTTCCAGGTGTTAATTTCTGGATTAAAGTAATTAAAAGATAAATACTGATGAAATTTGATTGCTAAATATACCAACACAGACTGTGTTTTAGCCCTGAAGATAGCAGCATGTACAGTATTTACAGATGGAAACACTGTATGCTTGGAAAACAAAACTTTTCCCCAAAAATAACTTTAACATAAAGGCAGCCCAAACGCCAGAAGGCACGCGCATCTTGAAAATCAAATAATGCTTTAAAGCCATGCTTGTCACTTTACCACTGCTCCCAATCTGCTGGGATGGTGACAGAATTTGTCTTTTCCCTTTACATCACTGGAATTCTCAGGCAGCACTACAATTACTTTGAAAATCTCCTCTTTCAGAGATAAACTTGAAGCCTCAAAGGGAAACTGGAAAGAAATAAGGTCACAACATGCCACAGATTGATTTTATACAAAACTGGACACCCAGGTATGAATTCTGAATGTTTGAGACGAGTAATGCAGGCCTTCAAAGGGTGTTCTTTGAGGTCAGACGCTGCTGTATGACAAGAACAGCTTTCATACGCTACCTCTAACCTCCCCATTACCCACGTAACACAACCTCAGTCCCCTCTTGGACACAAAGGGCCTGAACCTTAGCATTCCCATTCCAAACCCCTGATTTCATGCATGCAAACCCACCTAGCAATTTACAAATCCCAGCTGAGGAAGAGTCACTACTTCTGAAGTCATTACATTTGGTACTTCCTAATCTCTTCAGTTTAACAGTCCTCCTCCAGTAACGGCTCTGACAGCTCTAACAGGAAACGTGTCAGTAGTGGCTCTGGGGCTGCCTGTCCCTCCCTCCAAGTGCATCTCTTTCTGATCCCCCACAGCTCAAGGCCTGCCAGGGCAGGGATGCTGAAGGAAGAAGAGCCACAGATGTAAGCTAGCACATGTGCTCTGAGCATTACTGCTGCTGCTCAGTCCCACACACAGCTCCTGCTTCCTCCGGAGTAAGTGGTAAGCACACGTTGAGTTTTACCACCCACATCCTGCCAGGCCCTGCAAAGCAGAAGTGAATAAATCCACATTAACGACCCTGGCACCGAAAACAACACGCTCTGTGTGGAGCTGCTACAGCTTCCTTAATTCTCAACCAAAATTAATCTCTTGAAGGGCAGAGGGAGAGCATGGAAAAGCATGTTGAAGTCCATCTGCATGAGGGATATGACACATTGCTGGCAACCAGCACCAATATAACATGCTCTGAAGTGCATACAAATCACTCCCATTGCTGACATATATGTGGACGAAACCTTGTATTTCCCTAGAGTGCAAGCTTATATATTTTCATCTGTAGATGTCAGTGGGATCTGCAAAGGTTTCCACACTTTTGCCACGTGAGGGATGGCTGCAGCCAGCCCAGCATCACCTAGCAGCTCACTGGCAAAGCTGCAGAGTCAGCACTGCTGATATTGTACCAGTGCTTCAATGAGTTTGGGGTTTAGCTTTATACAACATACCTGACCACATAAACGAAATCCTTTTAGACTCACTTTCCCTTATGGATTAAAGTAACAAAAGAGAAAAAAAACACAGTGGAGAGATTTTCACTAAAACAGTCCATTAAAAATTAAATTACATGACTACAAGCAGCTCATCCAGTAACTTTCTTCCAGTCAACATTTACCACTGCTCTTACGCATAAACACCTTCAAATGTGTAAGCTCTCACAGAGCAAAGGTTTGTAACCAGCCCAGACACAAGAAGTGTAGGACCACCAAGCAAATAAACTGAGTAAGAGTGAAAACATAGCCCTGTAAGATGCATTTCTGCAACTGTCAGCCACAAAATGACAACGGAAAAGTGCTCCACACATCATCCATCTGGCACATATGGAAGTATCATCCTAAACATATCTCGACTGCCACTTCGTTTTCACGTGGGTATCGTATCTCCTGCTCATTACTGATCCTACTTGCCATTCTGAGTGCTAAACGAAGGACAAGGAGTTGACAACACTTGTTTAACATGAAGACTGCGATGAAGTTACTAAATCTGCACACGCTGTGGGATTTGCTTTCACCACCCAGGCCTCCCCCTGTGCCAGGCAGGACGGAGGCTCCCAGAGCACAGCCCACGTGCTCAGCACCACAAGAAAACCAGGAAAGCTTTCATCATTTAAAACTTGCCTTCATTGTCTCCAGGTGATGTGCTCAGGCTGTTGTTACCTACACTTAGAGCAGCACTGAGAGGTTCTCACTTTAGCTACAACTCCTTTGTGTCCATACCCCAAACTCAGAGCTGTCAGACCTTTATTACTGACTACAGCGAGGGAAGGACAAGTCCTCACCAGCAGCACAAGCACAAGCCCTGGGTGCTGTCCCCACGCACATGGGACTGAGGGGAAGAATTGTGGGATGGCACTGTGGGTGTGTGGGGCAGCAGGGTGGGCACAAAGTTGGTGTGTGGAAGCAGAGTGGGCACGGTACGTGGAGGAGCAGGTGGGCTGTGTGGGGTGTGAGGAGAAGCAGGTGGGCTGTGTGGGGAGGAGGGGGGAGGTGGGCTGTGTGGAGAGGCAGGTGAGCTGTGTGGGACACAGGAGGGAGCAGGTGGGCTGTGTGGAGAGGCAGGTGGGTTGTATGGGGTACCAGAAGCAGGTGAGCTGTGTGGGGCACAAGCAGAAGCAGGTGAGCG